GCCTCATTGTATGTCCATGGGTCGGTTTTAAGAACGTCCAGGACGGCCTCAGAAGACTCTCCCAGACCCATGAACCGTTCGGGTTGCCGGACAACCCTCCCACTACGACGATGCACTACCTGCTCAGGTGCATCATCAGCGATACGTGTTGCATTACTTTGTGGTGTAACATCTAGCACACTCGGTATTGAAGTACTCACTCCCTTTAACTCCTCAAGAACACTTAACATAAGTGCTAGTGTACTCCTTCAGTCAAAGACCAACTGAATCGGGAATACACTACAGTCTTTTTCCAAGTGGGGTCTCACTGCCAGTCTAGACTGTGAACGAATAGTTTAGTCTTATAAGGAACCGATAGGTGATCTTTCCGTTCGAAACTCTTCGAACCACACTATCTCAATATAAGACATGGAGTATGTATTGCATAAATAAATAAACTGCAAACATATATACTTTGACCGAAACATGATTGCTAGATCAAAATGGAATTGATAGAAACTGCAAAATACAGCTTTTACAGCATACCTCTAACAGGGGCGCGCAGAGGGTGGATGTTGGGTGGTCGATGCGTGCGAGAGATTGCTGCGGGTGGACAGAACAAGATGATATACGCACGGTAAGCGGGCAAGCCGCGGGGGTCGATTGGGACACGCTGGCGTTCAGCACTGGCGATGTGCACACGATAATGCGTGGGTGTGACGAGGAATGCACGCGGACATTGTTGGGCGAGCGCGGAGGCACGCAAGGCCGTGCGATAGGCGATCGGGAGGCCAGCTGGGACAACAGCACGGGCGCACGCCTATGCGCGATAGGCGTAAGCGATGAGGGCACGCACGCGCAGGAGTTAGGCGGCGGGCGTGATGAGCGTGGTGGCAAGGCGCGTGCTGGGAAGGCGAGTGAAAGCCTAGTCCGTGCGGGACTAGGCGAGATGGGCGATGAGGTGCGCACGCGCGAAGCCCTACGCGACAAGGAGTAGGGGCCGAAGGTCGGCGCACGCACAAAGGCAGTTAGGGCGGCGGACGTGTGAGGCGGCCGAAATACATGGGGCGAGAATTTGGAATTGTTTGGAGTGCAAGCCAAACAAGATCAAGACAATCTAGTCAATTAGGACTATAGAATATTAAGTTTCTTTCTTGCACAACAATATCTAGATTGTATAGGTTATTTAATATTTAATTGCTTTAATTAGAGATTTAGTTGGAATAGGAATTATTTACTGCACAGTTTAGGAGATCTAGTTAGATTAGAATTAGATTTAGTTTTCTCCTATAAGTACCCATGTACCCTATGTTATTTTTCATCATTGAAGAATTAATAGAACTCAAGAACTTTTGTTCATTCTCTCTTTGCTTTAGTTTTCACCAAAAATCTATTTCAATTATATTCGTTTAGAGGGGTGCGGTTTGTGAACCTCTAGGCAACTATCGGCGATTCAAGGCGCGGGATAGCGGCTTATCGACAGTCGGGACACGCGATCTTTATCAGATCCCGCCCGCGTCGCCTCCACTTGCGCGCCCAGCGTGCCCCGCGTCCTCGCTACCTGACGCCCGCGCGTCCCAGCCACCCTCGCAGTTGTTGCCCACGCTCAACGCCTCCTTTGCTTGCGACAAGTCCTAGCATTAGTATGAGTTCGTTGACCGCGTAAGGGCGATCCATCTTGATGACGGCGCCCTCGTTGCGCTCGCCCAACGACTCGCACGTCCTGCCACTCGCTGTCTGTCAATTTGCGTGCATCATGAGTCGATGCACGTTGTTCGCTCATGCGCACCTCGCCGTCACCGATTGTCTCCAGCTGCTCGCCCGATGGGCCTAGTTCGACAATCCTCTATCCGCATGAACGGTCCACTTGACATTCTCGGCTCGTCCCATGGGTCTCAACCTTCGACGCACCTACCTTCTGACCTAATGAAATCTACAGCCCGTCATGTCCATCCGTCTTCTATCCTTTGCTTACCACGCCTTCGAAATTCCGAGCGCCATGCTCGTTTCTTCCTCGCACAAGGCCCACACCAATGGCTTGCCTTACTAGCCTTTGCCTTGCGACGCCTCTGGGCTTGCTTGATCTTGCGTTTCCTAGACTTTGATCGCGGACCACACCCTTTCGGCCAATCTGTCACGCATGAAGGTCGATAAATCGAACTTTGTGGCTCCTCCAGCATGTTCTCTAACCATATATCGAGGTCCTCGCCGGCCTCGTCCTCCGACTCGCCAGGGTTGATGACCACTTCCGTATCACAGTGGCCAGCCGTGCGTCCCAGCGCCTAGTCGCCGTCGGCAGCGCACAGCAACACGAGATGGTCGTCCTTTGCGCACGCGTTGTGCCAGTCGCACCGCCGACGCTCGAGTCAAGCCTGCCATGTGCAGGCCGGCGCCAGTAGTGCCCGGTAGCGCCCAGGCTGCGCCCAGCCGTGTGTGAGACCGCGCCAGGGCGCCAGCTGGCTCTGCGCGGGACCGCGCCGATAGGCCCGAGTCAGGGGCCGACCGCCCGGCCGCAGGGAGACGGCGGTCCGGCCAACCAGTGAGACGGCCAATTTAGACCGGTTACTTGAACAGTTCAGTATTATTTAACCCGGTTCTAGTCCAGTCCAGAATTCCAGTTAATGTTTTTGTCCAGTCAGTTCAATATAGCAGTACCAGTTTAGGTCAGATTTAAAATCAGTTAAAATAGAACC